ACCACTCTTTCAGTAATGAAATTTTTCCTTACATCCAATCTAAACCTCCCCTGGCGCAACTTGAGGCCATTTCCTCTCGAAATGTCTGTCCTTATGTGCTTGCTCACAAAACATGATCTGAAAGTAATCAATGAGATGGTGAGACTTTCTTTAAAACACCAGAATGACAGTTAAAAATATTAGTAGGGGATTTTTTTATTAAGCACATAACCAATCTTCATGTAAAAAAAGATGGCTTCAGCTTATATTGAGGAAGTAATTAACACATTAGCTGAAAGCTGACCTATTCAAATGGTATTCCTGAAGGTAAAGGAAACTGAATACATTCTAAGTTTGTTCATCAGAAATATGCCCATATAAAAAATTATTGATTTGATACTTGCCTGAAGTAATAACAAGGTGTACAAACTCTTTCATCAGCTTGTCTGTTGGAGAGAAACTTACGCAAACCCTATGCAGAACCCTCTCTGAAACTTTGTATCGGAGGTAAATTTCTTGATTAAAATGTTTAAATTTGGCTGTCTTAATTCGGGTCACATTACCCTATCTTAAAGATGTAGGTTTTGGTCTCTTAATAAGCTACCTTCTCTCAAAACACTGTCAAGGAGGTCAGATAACAGCCTCAAATTTTCTTATGCACCATTAGTTCTGCTGGGTTCTCCTGCCTACCTGTCCTCCTGCTTATAGGATATACTTGGAAACTAACAGTGCAATAAACGTAAGCAGCCTTATACAAAGGAGAGATGGTAACCAGAGCTTCCGTAATATGCTATATTACACTATCTAACCTAAAGCAACACACAGAGTAAATTATTTTGTTATCAACAGAATCTGCCAGCAATCTCAAAAACAGGCTTCTTATATTTAGTTTCTCAAATACGGATTTAAGATGTGTTTGCTGATGCCTGCTGAGGGGCATGTGCCTGGTGGAAGTTTCCAGAGCACCTTGTGCATCCTACTCCACCAGAAATACTGCAAGAAACCTGTTTGTAGAAACCCTGGGGGGACTAATGCTAATTAAAGCCTCTGAAGTTCTGTCAGAAACAATGCAAAAAATCGGCATAAGTTTTTTGCTGTTTGTCATCTAATACAGAGCCAAATCTAAAAATGTTGAATTAATCTGGTTTTCTCTAATCAGAGTAGTCTTACCCTATTTCTGTCTGCAGTGTAGCTGGCCTGCCTTCCAAGAAAGAACATTTATTGCTCTGAAAAAAAAAAAAAGTGTTTCTGGCCTCTTCTGGGCACAGATTTTGTGTTCTACTTTTTATTTATTTCAAATATTACAACCCGGAAAGTTATTCCACTGACCAGGGACACCACAGGAATTCCTCTGCTTTGAACAACTCCATCATCCTCTCTCCTCCTTGCTGCTTCCCTGCGGAGTGTCTGCTGGATGAGCTGGTTCATGGTCATGGCTGGGTAAGAGTGGGTCCATTCTGCCTTAGAGGGAGGCCATTAGACGATGGCCGTTTCGTGAAAACCTGCTCCTGAAAAATGTATTTACTAGATTAAAAATGTGTTACCTTAGATTTTGTGCTGACAGACTGATCTCATAGTAAAAACACTGCAGAAAAATGGGTTAGTAAAGATTTTGTGTTGTCAGCTTTTAATATCATCCTTAGTATTTATTTTTTTATTTATTTTTCTAAGTGGAATATGGTACTATATGTCACTGTGTTTCAGATGTAATATTCAAAAATATTTTCAAGAAATCGAAAAAAGTGTCATCTCTCAAAAAATAACCTGCCTCTAAATTCAGGTCATGCACTTTGTTTCACATGGAGCAAAATTTTGCAGCTAATACAAGCATGTTTTTTTTGTCTCTGGTTGTTTGCCGAGCTAAACCATCCATTACATGACTTGTCATTTGTATAGAGAATCCGTGTTTGAACTGGGGTTTCTAGATACCCCTTTGGGTTCTGTAAACAGAGACTTAACTGATCGTTTCAATGTTGTTTTCTTTGTCAAGAAGAGTTTAAACCCCATCCTCTGCTGGCAAGCTTCCCTCCTAATTGCAGCAAAGTAGTGTTGCCGATGTCATTGTAATGTGGCTGATAGTGGCAGCGTCTTAAATGGCAAGCTCTGCACAAGGTGCAGAAGAAAAGCCCCTGCCCTCTGGAACCTGCTGTATAAACAGATAAATGTGTGTTGAGTATATAACCAGTGAGCCAGATCTTGCAGAGTAGTCATTTGTGGGTTTTAGAGGAAAGAATCTGTCTTGTAGGGCTGATGATAGAATAAAAGGCAAGTGGGCGGGGGCTGCACCTAATGAAGGCAAAACCAGAGGCGTATGAGATGGACTGGCAAGCGTAAAGATGCGAACAGACAAATTCTGAGGCAGAGCATGTGGATAAATATAATAAAAGATACCTAGTATACAGGCAGGGCAGAGGTCTGTCCATAAAGGTCTGGATTTGCTGCCAAAAATGGGAGGAGGGGAGAAAAAATTGTGTATGATTGCTGTTGAGCTGGTGGTTGGTCAGGGAGCGAGGGGGGGTTAATTATGCTCTCTGTAAAGAATTGCAACTGTGGGATGGGGTTTGCTGAGGAAGCTGTCAAAAATGAAAAGAGCCAAAGGACAGAAAAACATTTTAGCCACACAATTTTGAAGGCAAATTAGGTACTTTTAAAAGAATTGTGGTGGAGAAAAAACAAAAGGTGTGTATTAACAGCAGTGTGGATATGCCAAAAGAACGAATCAGATGTCCTGAGATTGCACTGAGATCATGAGCCTCAATGACGGGATAAATGCTTTATTTTTTTCATGCAAGCTGCCAGAAATAATAATTACACTTAATTTATGGTTTTCATTTGAAGATATATTCAATAGTTCTCAAAAGACACTCCTATGTCCAAAAGTACATTCCAAAAGCTCCTATCCCCTCCGGTAGGAGTAATTGTCCTCTTTTGTAATTTATAAAAACATGTTTGGTCTCCTCTCGTATCTGCCTTTGGTACACAAGTTTAGCAAAGGCAGACATTACTGTGCTGTTTGTTTTCTGGCGAGGTGAGTTATGATTACAACATAGGGGATGAGCATCTTACATTGGTAAGATTTTTCTGCAAGTCACCGTGAGGTAACGGGAAGTGTTGGTTTTAATGATCTTCACTGTTTAAATTTTTATTGTGTTCAGCTGGGGTTTTTATAGTGTTTGATTAAAGTTCACAGGAAAGATGAATTTAAAAGACTTCAGGTTTGTTAGATCTGCTATGGCTTGCCAGTCACTCTGCCAAAATTTTCCACTGTGTACTTCTTATAGTTCTGCGTGGTCTAAACTTAATTGACTGAAGATGAGAAGCATTATCATGGATCTGTCATTGCAGCCGCTCTTCATATGTTTCACTAGCTGGAATGAGCAGTTGCTGGGTTTGTTTCTGATCTAATTCACAATGATGTAAAACAGCAGTGATTTCACAGAAGAGGAAACAGATTTAGCTGGTGAGAAAGCAGAACTACGCTCATTGCTGCTCCAGTAGCACTCATTTACAGGTGAGTGGAAGAGTAAAGTCCATTGTTAAAACACTAAATTTCAAGTATGTAGGAACAGAGGTACATTACATAAGCTATTCAGCCGATATAACAACATAACTCATCTTTTTATTTCACTGACTCTAAGACAATACTGAAAAAAAAGAAAACAGTCTGAGCTTTACAACCTAGCCTCCTTATAATGCCTAATTGTCTCACCAGAAGCAAAGGTCTAAAGATCAAAAAATGGACAGAGATGAATTTAACATACCACGTTACAAGAACTGGTAATGTTGATTTGGTGTATTGAAATATTTTAATTACAGTAGTCTCATTTTAGTAAATTCATGTAAATTAATTTATATGTTGATGCCTGGATTTTTCTGTGCATTGATTTATCAAGCATGTCTTGTTTATTAAATTCCCCTTACTGATAACAAACAATTACTACTTCAGGTAATTGATTTAAAACATGGCGTAGACCATTGCCAGCTGATACTGTGCCAAGAGCTATAGTACAAATTAATACAGACCAGAAGCTTGCATGCCTTATTGTTGCTCCACCAAATCAATATCTGAAGTAAGACCATGGCATCCACCAGGACTGTAACAGGAATTCGTTTGGAATACAAACGTACAAGTACATTGCTGGCAAGACTGGGTTTTTTTATGCATATGATTTGTCTTAATAGCTGACTTTGAGAGAACAGAAGGCACTATAATCTTAGCAGCAGGAGCATGCAGGGAGAAGTTGAGACTGTGATCCTGCCTCTATTAAAATTGATTGTAATGTGATGGATTGGGTGTCTCTCTAATCTGGGACAATCTCAAAACTTCCCAAGAGTCTTCCTGTGAAATGCAAATATGAGATTGAAATGAGTTCTGTGTGCATAGTCATTAGCAGTCTTTCTAGGCCTGTAAGATAGGAAGCAAGACGGACTGAGACACCTTAAAACAAAGACCTTGTCAGAGCAGAAATGTCCAGCTTTCTGTCCACAGCAACAGTTAAATGACTTGGGAGCTTTTAAAACAGTTGCTTGGCCTGGAGACAGGAGCTATAAGTATCTTTGCTCTCCTAGTTAAAGAAAACTCAGTGAAGTCACTGGAGAATGACGAGAACAAACACGGTACTTGTTAACAGACAAGTGAATAATTGTCCTCTGCCCTCACAAATTGAAAGTGGTGGGTAGTGATTTACTGCTGAGGAAGAGAGACAGTCGTGGTATGACATGGCATGTTGCTTTTCCAAACCAGATTTTCAATATTATTATATCAATGTTATTAAATGAATCGCTAAAAGGAAAGGGTCAAATTTAGGTTTGTAGTTTTCTTCCTTAATTACTTAGTTTCTTCCCTAGTTACTTCAATAGCTTTTACCTGACTGAGGTCAGCAAAAACTTTAGTTGTATTTATAGGGTTGTTTCATCCAAAATCATGAAATGTCTCTAACTTTCTCTCAGAATTTTGGCTTACTTTGCATAGTGTGTGCATCATACCTTCCTACTGGGTTACTACTCCTACTTAGAGTATTTCCATTTGAAAGAGAAGATCCACATTAGAATTTGCAAATTAAGATTTTCAAATTTTAGTCCAAATTCTGAAGACAAAGACTCAGACTTGTCTTCTAACAGAATTTGTATCTTGGGCCTCCAGCCTCGGTGCTTGCAGGACAAACCAATTCTCAAACATTTCTTGCAATAAAGATTTCCAGTTCATTTTAGCTTTTTTGGCCTTTAAAAATGTGTTTTCTACTGTATTTTGTACTAATGATTTGTTGTTTTTTTCACAACAGTGCTTGCAGAAGGCAAAGTTTAGCTAATAAACATGCAAATGTGTTCACAGGAAGACTTGTGCCAAAAATTTTAATGGGTTGCTGTTCTGCTCCTGGTTGAGTAAATCACAGTGGTTGCTCTAACTTTCTTCCTCTTTTCAAATTCGGTTAACCAGTGACGGAGCACCCAAGAACTGGGTGAGAGGAAGGTCGCCAGGCCAACATCTACAACTGGAAACATTAAAACAAAAGTCTCTCTGACTTTTCCCCAAACAGAAATCTACCTAATGTGACTTTTGTTGTCTAATTTTAAATAGCCAATTGGAAGAAATTTAATTCATGAGTAATCAATAGGCTTTAAAAAAAAACGTTGCTGTAGTAAAATAACATTTGGGAGGGGTTTTGTGTGTAAAAATTTTTTTCAGTTCTTTTGATTGCAAGAAATTTGTGAGCAAATTGTGTAATAGTGAAGCTTTACTGAAACGTGTTTCTCCATTTCAGGCTTAGTTATCTTGTATACTTCTCACTTCTCTCAGTAGTATCCTTCAGTCTCTTTCTTTCTCTGTCTCCTTCTCTCCCTCCCCTTGGTATTTGAAAGAAATAATACCTGTGACACAGAACACTTCAAGCATACGGTGGTCTCACTTCTAGATTTTGAGTAATAAGAAAAAAAATTCAAAGACACAGTTGTGTTACCCTCCTCCACTCACCTTCCACTGGCAATGTTCAGTATTGATTTAAAAGACTAAAGATGTGGACTGTGTATACTAGTGCTGACCCCAGCATCACCTCACTTGTCCTCGGTCACGAGCTCACCCTTCCCTCTGCATTATGTGTGATGCAGCATACCCAATCTGTGTAGGTGTTGCTTTAGGAGCCTACATCTGGCTCATGTACAGGGGCAAAACCATCCCTCATTTGTCCTGCTCCTCAGGACAAAGACTGAGAGCTCAAATTTAATTCTTCTGCTTCTGTTATGCCAGAGACAGAAATAAAGCATATTTCAGAGCTAGTTCAGCTAGTCAACTGGGAGAATACCACAGGTTACATCAGCTCATGTAATATCCTCTACTACAAACACAGTCTTTCCCTCCCTCCCTCCCTCACTCAAAATAAAATGAGTCTTAGAATCTGTATTGCCAAACAGGAAATTATCCCGCAAAGTACCGGAATATTAGGTCTGTATTCCCTAAAGTGTTAAACAAATTTGGGTCAGATTCAACAGGACAAATCTAAATGCCATTGGGAAGATCTAATTAGATTTTTATACTTTTGTAAAGCATCCTTTGTTTCTGAAAAGGCACATGGCTACTATTACATCTCTCAGCAATAGTGTTTACAGCAAAAAATGTTCAATTTGCGTGTGCTATGGAAACTTACCACAGAAATCAAATTTTTTAAGAGCTATTTAGACTGCACAGCAGGCCAAACAGAAAGACATCATTGCTGTGACTGACCTATAGCGTACTTTTTGGTAAAGAAAAATTGGTGTGCTGATGCTTATTCTGTCAAAAGGAAAAGAACAAACGGAAAACAAGGCTGAAAACCCTTTTAGTAAATACGCAGATAAATGCCTCCCAGACCTGCCTCAAGCGTCCACTTTTGCTACCTTGTGATGTGGTGGGGCTGTCTGTAGGTCTAACTTGCAAAGAGATTTTCATTTAAGTATCAGTTGCTGTGGTAACAGCATGAAGAGCAGATCAAATGGATGCCAGGACCAGAGGGGTTTCTCTAAGAACTCCATATATGTGAACGATTGGTGGTGACCCAATTCCAAAAGGTTATCAACACAGATTTGCACTGCAGCTGATTTAACATTGCCTTCTCCGGGGGTCTGGACCTTGTTTCTGGTCCCCAGGGGTTCTCATGAATTAGCAGCCCCGGAGTTTTGTCAGAAGCTCATGGACTTCCCACAAAGGAAATGCTGGTGGATTAACAGAAGTGATACAGTTTCATACTCACATGTTTATGCTGCCTTCTCATTGTCAAGGGCTGGGCTGAGCCGAGCCTTGGGCTCTGTCAAAGTGTTGAGTAATTATCACATGATAATCATACACTGCAGTTTCTCCCAGGCTTAATTTGATTTCTGCACCATAGTTGCTTACAACCCACTTAAATGCCACCCACATGTAGTTTAACCAATATAACTGATTAGATTCAGTTTTCCATGGTCAGAGCTATTTTACGTACAAGGTTCATCAGCAAATGTTTGATCTTTACTGAAGTCTTTTTGGTTGGTTCTTTTGCGTTTAAAACTGACTTACTCGGCTCTTATGAAAACTTGAGTTAAAATCATAATAATGATCTGGTGCTTACTGTTTAGTAAAATCCTGAGTTTCCCTTACTCTTTTGGAAGGTTTGGGGTTCTGTTTGTTTTTTGTTTTCCCAAGAAATGCGTGAAGGGAGTGTGTGTGTCGTGGTTTAAACACAATTACGTGGGCTGGGCCAGTCAGCGTTCCAACTTTATCTGGAAGTGGGATGGAAGGCAACTCCTTAAACAGTGCATATTTCCCCTCCTCTCCTACCTCCAAAATACGTTCCAACATGTTGATTTGTTTAATCTTGATCCAATCTTGAGTATGTTGAGGGTTTTTAGAGAAATAATGCTATGTCAAAGATTTTGGGGTGTCTGGGAATACTCTTAAAACAGTCCTGCCTGTTTTGTGTAGTGGATGCATGTCCCTTGCCCCCTCACCTGGCAGCACTACGTTGGCAGCTTCACAGCCATGCAGTTGGGTAGATAAGAAGGTGTGGATCTTGACTTAGAGGGCTTAAAGTCTACTTTTTTAAAAGTATTTTTTATCCTTGGTAAGAATACACCAGAAGTCCATTCACAGAATTGAGGAAAGTTCTCTTTTCTGCTTTAAATTGCTGTGTACTTAATACTTCGGGGTACTGTGTTAGGCAATTTATGCCCAGCTGTGCCTACATGGGTATGCCATGTAGGTGTCAAGTTGTTCTCTGGTCTTCAAGCCTATTGCTTCATGGCCTCACCAGAAGGTGTTCAGCCCATGCAAATGGCAGGTGATTTTGGACTCCTAACATTTTTTTGTCCCTATTCAGCAAGTACGGTTCTAAAAATGTCTCTGTCAGGAGGCTGGGAGTAAGTCTCCACATCAATTAGATTCTGTCAGCTTTACCAACCACTTAAAGCAATTAGATCCGAGAACACGCTGGCTAAATTTACATGGAGCATATTCTTTCTTCCTGCTCCTTGCTTAGATTGTGTTGCAGCTGGAGATATACCACTAGCGCAATGTAGGCATCAGAGAACACATTGTGCCTCCAGCGAGTGCTCCAGGCTGTTTGTGGAGGGCAGCCTCCCAGTTTCTCTGGTCACGCTCAGCAGATTTGTCTGCCCATGTCAGTGAAATGAACCACAGTCTGCTGGTCCTCACAAGAGACAGGCTGCGCTCATCCACAAAGAGAAGTTTCAGAAGTGATTAATTTCTGCATTTTTAGCTTTGTGCTTTGAACATATAGATGAAGAGAAAATACTTGGCAATAGATAGAAAGCCAGAGAGGAGCAAACCAAAAGAAACAGCAGAGCTCTGCAAAATCCCTGGAAGCAAACGGGGAGTCTGGGCACTTATGGGACAAGGCCAGTGAATGAGCTGGTAGAATAGTCCATTTACGTAATTCTGGCTTTGGACCTGATTTCATGTGAACGCAGCAGGTCTGGGAGATGTTCTTACGCAGGACTCAAAGCATTATAACATCCACACCTTATGATGGAAATGGTAAGAGTTCAGCTTAAGTTTAGTATTTCCAAAGAGTCAGAGCTCAATCTGTGATATTTGAGTTTTAGGCAGGCTGTGGGCTTTGTGCTGGATCAAGATGCCACATATTAGTGTTTGTCAGTAGGCTCAGCCGTCTGTTTACGTACAGCCACAGTGTTTAAGTCCCCATGGTAAAATGCTGCCTCATCTTCAACTGAGACTGGCTTTGCTCTTCTGAGGTCAATTTAGTTGTTGCTTGCTGAAGTTGTTCACTGCCTCGCAAATGAAATAAAATTACCAGGTGATGGATTCTTCCTGTGGCAATGTGGCAAAAAATTATTCCCCGGAGAGGAATCCACATGCAGTGTCTGCATCACTTAAAGTTCCGCTCATGACCTGTTTTGGAGAGCTGATGGGTCTTAGGTCTCCTGAGCCTCATCTAGTCTGGGATGAGTTGTATTCACAGGCAATTACTAAATCAGCATTAAGATTGTTTCATAGATCGTCTTGATTCCTTGATCTTCCAGTGCAAGCTGTTCAATAAAGCTCTGGGCTATTTAGGAGAATTTACTGGCTGAGAGCCTTCTTGATACCACTCCTGCGCTTGTTTCCTGACTGCTTTTGAAGGTATCTTAGAAGCTTTTAAAAATGATCTTTATATCTTGCTGTGCAGTTAAAGCTCTAAGTTTCTCACTAGCATGTACAGATGTTTCTTGGATATTGGCAACAGCCAGAAAATGGGAATGTGTAAAAAAACCCTCCCATTATGAGCAAGTGGATCTTCCCTTTTCTTCAGCTGTTTTTTGTTTCCATCATCTGCAAAATACACTGCACCATGCTGCCAGTGAGCAGCACTCGAGCAAAATGTATCCATTGTAGAAAATTAGCGTAATCTGAATTTCAACAAGATTCAGATCTAGCTTTTTGAATCACTTACTGCTGACCTTTTCACAATGTTATAGAGCACCTGTGAATTGGCATAAATGTCCAAATAAATACATATGCAGAGTTTATTTTATGTAAAAGGCAAAGAAGCAAGGTTCGTCATTTAGATCCAAATCTGATTTGAAAAAAAATCTTTCTAATTCTAATGTCTATTTAAATTTTTCTTGGGTTTGTCTTTATTTCAAAAATATCTTTGTTTTTACTTTCCACCATTCTCTGAAGTGGTTGCTGCCCATACACAACAGCACTGGGCTATTTAGTGTGGAGAACCCAGGATAAATCACACTCTTTTCACTTTTGCACTGAATGAGCTGCTGAAAAAAGAAAATAGCAGCGTTATTTGGAGGAAAAATAAAGCAGGAAAGGGTAAAGCAGGAATAGGGTGGGGTTCTTAGTCTGGAATCTTGATTTGGAGCTCTGCAAGTATGTTCATACGTAATGAGGGAGGCTTTAACCTTAATAGTATCCCCTTTTACTATGTTCATAAAACATTACTCTTCTTATATCTTTACCACATTCGTCCATCTTTGAAAACCCATCTTAAAATACCAAAAGGGAGAAAAAGCTGATGTTGCTGCGGTCACTGACATTGACTACCTGGAAGATTTCTCAGGAAGAGAATGTAGCATATGAACAGCCGTAATAAGGCAGACTAGAGGTCCATATAGCCTCTTATAGAGTCCAATATAGAGGAAATTAAAAGGACGGGGAAAGCATGCCATGGCAGTCTTCCAGTACATCTTCATAGCATCCAGCGCACTGTAGTATTGCTGCTGCTTGAGCTTTAACTAGGACCTCAGATGGATTTTTCTGTCTTGAGTTTGCTTAATTGCTTTTGAAGCTGTAAAAAATTTAGTTCAACTTGTACTGCTGTGAAATGCGAGGAATTGAATTCTGAATGAGCTGCTGCATTCAGAAACATAAGAATCAGTTCAGAGTAAAGAAGAATTGATCCCAGCAGCTAAGCCTGCCACCATGTGCTAAATACGCTTAAGAACAATCCTTTGCTGTAGATGTCTGGAGCTGCGTAGTAAGTAGTGGAAAGAAAGAAGAAAGGAACCTTGTGTGAAATCCAGAGCCAGGGCACAAGTTTTGCAAGAGCAGTTATTCTTCTGGCCAAAGACCGGAAGATTTCACATCCTGCTTTACTAAAGAGAGTTGCTTCCAAAACAGAGATTGCTGCCCATTGAAGAAAAGTGAATCTTTCATATTATACACACACACAAAATACATCTATCGATTAGACTGCGCTTAGCTGGCTTTTGAATAGGAATTTTCTTTATGTGATGCAGGCTGGGTTTCTGAAGAGAATTTCCTAACAAATATTAGACACAGTAACACTGACTTATTTCTTCCCCGTTCTCCTTCAGTCCCGCTGGTACTCTGCTCCAGGTACATCCCACTTGCTAAACACACAAAACTAAATTGGAAAAGTAAATGATGCTTTCATTGTGGAAGTTCTCTGCTTGTTTCTGTATTTGCCATAGGTCTTGTTTTTTTAAAAAGAATCCATATTTGAAGTTTTTCATTGAAACATAAATTTTGATGAAGACAATGAAGAGAAATTTTCATGGAAGAAAATGCCTTTTGATCGATTACAGTTATGAGGTTTCACTTACTCATCACAGATCCTTTATTCAGCCTCTAATCTTTTTTCTAGGGATTATGGGAGAAAATTCTTACATGCATTTTTATAGTACCAGATACTAATAACTAAGATCTGGCAAAATAAAAGATTCAGAATACTTTTTCAGACGGATGCTGTGGATGAAAGCAGTAAGCGAGATGAAATATGCATGTCTCCTGGAAAGTAGATGGCTTGTAAGCCTTGAGTTTTACCTTTGCATTTTTAGTGTGAAATATTTTTTTTTGCCTATTCTGGTATAAAAAGGCACAACACAACATATTCCTTAGACTGTTTAGTACAGCTGCTGTTCTCTTTTGTGTACCGTTTATGTCTCACCTAAACATCATATTTGAATTTCACTCACTGATGAAAAAATATTTTTTCTACTGAGACTTTCACTACTGTGAACCGTTTTTTAGTATGTGCACCGTACAGGTGAATATGTGTGAGCTGGAATCTCATGCTTCTGAGTGCAGGTGGGGGTGGGTTTCAAAGGCATTTGGGTTTTTTTATAAACATTCTTCTTATAGGAATGTTGATTTTTAAACATCCTGAAATCCTGTATTGCCACTACACAGCCTGATTAGCGCTCCGAACATCATATTTGAATTACCCTCACTGATGGAAAAATATTTTTTCTACTGAGACTTTCACTACTGTGAACCGTTTTTTAGTATGTGCACCGTACAGGTGAATATGTGTGAGCTGGAATCTCATGCTTCTGAGTGCAGGTGGGGGTGGGTTTCAAAGGCATTTGGGTTTTTTTATAAACATTCTTCTTATAGGAATGTTGATTTTTAAACATCCTGAAATCCTGTATTGCCACTACACAGCCTGATTAGCGCTCCGTCAGAAACCCTCATCATCATGTTCCTAGACTTGGCTCACAGCAGCGAAGAGTAAAATCAAGTCAGGGATTACCTTTTCTTTATCCGAAGGAATGATTGTGACAGACAATTTGAATAATCACTGGGGCCAAAGCCTGCAGGTGACAGGGGTTTGGAAACTCCTAAGTTTGGAATCTCCCTGCATTCTTCCTTCGTCAACATATGTTTGGAGACGCGGCCTGAGGAACAGGTTTGTATGAAACCATTTTGCATCGCTGTACAAAGTGCAGCAGTGTCATGCGTGTCTTCCTCCAGCCCTGCACCACTAGGTCAGAAAGCACAAATGCTGATGAATCATGTTTGCTTTGGCAACCTCCTACTCAGGTTCCTTCTCAAACCTCTCGTCTGAGCTGGGTGCCTTTTGACACGCAGGTGGGACAGCTGGGATCCACCAGAGCTTCATCACGCTTTTCTCTGCTGCTGCTGACATCTGCTGGTAGAACAATCTCAGCTTGTGCATTTGCAGAAGGTGGCTTAGATATACATCAAGTTTAATACATGTACCTAAATGCCATGTAGAATTTATTAGTGTAAACCTTTCTGTATTTGTTTGGGTTATTCTGAGAGCAAAGGGAGGTAGATTTGTAGCAGGAAGGCAGGGTTCTTGACAATATTGAAATGAGAGCAGAATAAATCACTGCAGTGGGTTTTATAGGCAGCACTTCAGCTGAGCTATGAATAAGTGGGATTATGCTATCATTGCCTTGAAGGCTTTTTTTTTTTTTTTTTTTTTGTGGTTTTGTTTAGTTTGCTTGTTCTGCTTTCCTTACACAAAGGATCTTTTGGTAGGAAGTGTCACACTATCAGAGGTTACGGAAAGCCAGACTCACTACGGGAATCTGAGATGGTACTTTCTGTTTATAATCAATGCTTTCTGGCTTTGGCGTGTCACAGGCTGTTGGTTTAGGAAACAAGGGTAAGGCATGCTTTTCTTTCTGCTAATGGCCTGTCTTATATGCGCTTTTTTTTTTAGGTTCCTGACACTGAAAATGAATCCCCTGATAAAGAGACCTTCAGAATATCCCAAGCAGAGAACAAGAAGTTTTAAGTAGAGAAAGAGCCAAAAAGGAGTTTTTCTAGCCCTTTTGGCAGCCAGATACTTCTATTTGGATAAGGCACAGACTTTATAAAAAAATTAAAATAGGTATTTAAGGATGATATCCCTGTCGTTATTAGTGATGTTAACTTTGGTCTATGAATTCAGAAGCAAAATGCACTGTAACTATAATGGTTTAGCTTTGGGGGCTTGAATTCTCTTTATGTGCCTGCAGCTGATTTGGCTTTACCCAAGGTTCAGTCCTCTGCTTGTCCATCTCTCATCTTTCCCGTGTAAACTTGCACAAGGTACTGTATGTCCCAGTTAGTGTTTTTGAGATTTTTGAGGAAGCGACAACATTTTCCTGCTGATATTAAAGTACTTGATTGAAGACCCAGCATGAACGTTGCTCAAATTCTCTATGCCTTGCTCCTGTAAGACCTGAACTCACTGGGGATACTCATTGACAGAGAAGGAAAATCCGACCTGTATTCAAAATGCTTTCTAAATGCGATACCCCCTCTGCTCAAGAGCTGAACTCAGGCCTGCTCAGTTCTTCTGAACACACGCATCAATATGCACACAATTAAGCACAAGAGACCAGTCATGTGATAAATTCTCATCGATTCTCTTCTGAAGCTCTGGAAGAACAGAAAAGGCTTCTAAGGTAGAAAGCTCTTCAGTGGGGAAAAAAAAAGGTAATCTCCATCATTGTAAGGCCTTGAGTTGGCAGGACATCCCCAGCGGTTTGTGCTTTTAATAAGTTCCTGCAAGAGTCCTAAAGATGGTAGCTGAGATAGCAGTACTGCTAAGCACAGCAGAAGGGGAGATAAGAAAGTTAAGCTCTCTGTATTCAGAGGTAAATTTGAAATAGTCAAGTCCATTGATGGCCTGCTGAGAACTGGAGCTGAGACAGACCTCCGCATGTTGTAAGGCACATTTAGTGCCATGAGCAAGAAATGATCCTGTGGGGGAAAAACAGGATCATACAAGAATCAGAGAGTCCTGGAAGACAAATTAAGATTGCAAGAAAACGTTTGGTTTTGGTATCTTTTCCTATATTTGTACGTTTGGCTTTGCAGTAAGCAGACATAAAAACTCAATACAGATTTGGATTTTTCAGGACACGTAAGATGTAAAGACCTCTTAGATTCTGTTTGGTCTCATTTGTAATAATAAGTAATTTAGATACAAGTCTATAAAAATATACTTTAGAGCTGTATTCCTAGCTATTAAGCAGGATGTTGCTATGCTCACAATGTTAGTTCATTATACAATACATGCTTAAACTTGTCTTTTAATTATAGCTTACAAGATTATATCCAGGAAGTTTACTAAACCAGGAAGTACTGGTCCCAGAAAGACACAAATGCCAAAACAAGTAAGAGTTTCCTCAGTGACGCAGGTACCTACTGTTGTAAATGTAGGTGTTTTTCCATGGAAATATTCTCATTTTGCCACTGTTCCTCTTGTGTAAGAGGCGAAAAAGCCCCTGATGCACTTAGACTACAGTTGGCCAATGAAAGAATGATATTGCTAAAGAAAGCTCATGAATGATGATTAAATAGAGAAACTCACCTTAAACTGCTGCTTTACTAGGATGTATCTCTTGGAATGAAGCCACATTGGAAAGAACTTTGAAAGTTTTGATGTTATACCTCTGAAAAAGAATAGTGTTTGTATATGAATTTTTTTGATATCTCAAAAGCAAGTCCTACAGATTTCCTGAAATTGTCCATACCGACAGAGTACAGAAAAGAGTGGACTCCTGAGAAATGCTCATGATAAGCAGAAGGTTCCTGTGATCCAGATGGACTATTCCATCCTTGGATAGGTATTTTCCACAATTGTTATCTACTCGGTATAACATAGGGAATGACACATTTGTCGCTGTGCTGAGACTCTAATGACCCGTAGCAGGATAAATTATGCTGTACTCTCATACAATTGTTTCCTTGAAATATGTTTATTTTTCTGTGCACGCAGGCTAGGATCACAGACTTGTTAAAGACATCAAGACCGTCTTGTGAGCGCATTTGGCTATTCCTGCAGGCAAGGTCAGCTATTTCCATCAAATTTACACATAAAATAGTAGGCTTAAGGATCCATTTCCTCAGTGCAATTTGTAAGAAAATTAATGAATCCTCTCTTGATAGATATCTTAAAGGTGAATGAGAAAACTGTTGTAATTAACTGTACTACAATGCCTGTCTACAGTGACTGTCCTCAAATCTAGGAAGGCTGTAGACCTGGGAACATGGGCACTGACTGGTGTTGCGTGATGGCAAAGCCTGAATGTTTGCCTATGTATTGGTCCCTTGTCCTCTTTCCCTGACACAATTATTTACCTTGCTCTTCCTTCCTTTCATTTCTATGGGTAAGTCCTTGCCATCTCCTTCCGCTATCTGATAGTTTCCCTGTTGTCCTCTTGCCCATAATGAATAATCCAACAGCAGTATTGCAGTGATAGAGCTCTTTCCCAATGCAGCTTGATCCTGAGAGGATCAGGTACGCCACAGCCGGAGACTTTGAGCTTCCCCTCCACTAACACTTGTGACACTGACTGACCACAGCGTCACGTTGTGGTACCTGGGACACCAGCTTATAAAAAATGTAAAATTAAATAAGGCCACAGATTTGTTAAATTCAGTAACAACAAACGTTGTCCTGCAATACAGATCTCCACGGTGGGTGCAGAGGATGCTGCTGTTAATATGTCTTTAACCACTTTTTACTTCACCAACCAAGAAAGATCAGTATTTTGTAAAGTCGTAGCAATTGACGCGCCATAGCTGAGGGTACTAATTTTCCTGAAGGGGCAAGCCTTTGGCAGATGATTTTCCTGCAGTGCTGCTCAGCAGCCGGGAGGTGGGGCACAGGCTTTGCTGTTTTGTGTTGGCATGCTAACGGCTGCACAGGCCTGATGCTGAACGCTGATCTTGAGGTTTATTAGGTTCAGCGGAGGTAAAGAAGCAGCAGACTGCAGATTAAAGTTGCAAAAGTAAAATACTAGAAAATTAGAGGAGTTTTTAAGATCAAAACTGAAGCTAGTAGTCCAGGAGGTCTCTTGGCACTGCTGGCAAAGGCTCGCACACCCAGGTGGCAGAGATAAAAAATAGGGGAAAACAGAAGAGCAGGGAATTGAACTGAAGCAAATGTCATGTAGCTGTATCTGCCACTGTTTCTGAAACTGTTTGGGGCAGCAATTAACTGGGAGCACTAGGTCGTACAGATTTCAGCTTAAAATATATGTATTTTCTATGTTCACAGCAGGGAGCAGGCAAAATCCAATAGAAAAGCTGGTTGAATATAAGGCGAAACTTACTCATTTACATTTAGGTAAATTAAGATCAAATCCATGGAAGTCCTCTAACAGAGTTACTACGAGTTTATTCTGCTGTAATTGTGAGCAGAGTTATCTCCAGTCTCTGGACAAGCTGTGAGAGACTCAGTCTGAGCTTCATCACATACAGGAGTCACAGTGGTACTTGGCAGCTTGCGGGAGGTTTTAGTTCTAGGTTGATAAACACATAATTGTGACACAATAAAACTTAGAACAACAGTGCTTTGGTACCCATGAAGAATTTTTTCCTTCCCTAAGCTGGTGCCTGGCTTTGGTGCAGTCAGTGCACCTCTCTGTTTAGGAGCACATAGTAAAAGGGGCATTCAGATGTTTGGAAAATTCCATAACTGCCCAGAAATATCTGCTCTGAGGCAGCATTGCTATTAATTTATCAACTATGCCACTAGGTTAGCATATTTATCCACTCCAAATGAACCAAAATTGCTTATTCTGTAGTTTATAAAATTGCATCCTCTGGATGTAATCCCCAAAATACCCTGCAGGTAAAGGTCTGTGCTAACACACGTGGTTAGTAGCATGTCCTAAATAACAATGGACTTGGGATCTTCCCCAGAGAAAGTAGCTGTAGAGGCTTTCACTAACTACATGATGGCACCAGCTCCTAAATATTTGTGTCCAGCATGTTACATGCCACATCTGAGCTGTTCTCAGCCACTGGGATGAAAGTTAATAACAAGACTGCTACAATAGCCAAGGGCTTTATCAATCAGAGGCATCATGAAAAGCCTTCCCCTCTGCCCTCATCCCCCACACCCAAGAATATATAGCTATATTGCACAACTCATCTTAAAACCTGCTGATAATTTACACAATACTTTTGCCTGTCAGAATTAGGCCCTATTAAAAATTACTTATACCCTAGAAATTGTCATCTTCCTCTCCGCCCCCCCCATCTTTCAAGTGAAGAGAATTAACATCCCATTTTCAGTTATCAGTACCATGACGCTAGTCCTGACATTGTTGCTGGTGCTATAAAAGCAGGTCAGTCTCCCTCAGGTTTGAGAACCTAGTCTTTGGGAAGAGTAAGTAAAAGCACTCCTCTAAGTCAGGTAAGGTCCTTCCTTCCCAGCTCACTTATAATTATAATTGCTAACATCTTCCTTTCTTTGTGAGGGCTGCAAATCCAGTTGGGGATCTGGCAAGCTGATCGCTGACAATATCAAATGTTCTCAGAACTCTTAATCGAAGGCAACCCATGAAAGCACCCCGGGGAGCGCTTTATTCTCTGTGTTTAAAAGGACATGAAAGTACAATAGTTCCTTTTATATGGGTACAAAGCAGCCAATTGATCTTGTCAGTTTAATAAATAATACAATTGCTTCCATCAGACACTGTTAATAGACTCCTGTCTGGACTAATGTTGTACAGAATTGTACAAGTACAGAAATGTTATCTACCTCCGTCTGCCCTGGATTAACCACCTCCCCCTTTATCACCTAGAGGCAAAGCTTCCAGCAGTAGTCCCTGAAGGGCATCAGGTCCCCTGATCTTCATCTCTTTCTTTATTTTAATGTGTTTTCTTGGAAGAGATGAGCTAATTTCCTGATGCATCTGTTGTCTGGCTGGCTCCTAGCATTTGTACAGATTCAAAGAAGCTTGAGAATGTAAAATAGGCAGCAGGTTTGGGGGGGTTTTTTGTTTATTTTTTAATCATACACTGTCTATGTAGTCTCAAGATGCAAAATTTGGATCATGCTTTTCAAACATTGCAAAGATGCAGGGAAGCTCAGATGCAGCTTCTTACCTGGGGCATTATGAATATAAGGACCAGACATCAGCAAAATTGATACAAGGCTTTGGTTCAAGAAGCTCACAGCTCAGGGGTTTGGGATGTTTCTGGTTCGGTGCCAGCATAACCAGATCATGCCCTTCCACAGCTTCCCCACTCAGCATTTAAGTGGGTCCTGAGTTTTTGCATTATCAGCACTAATTTTTAGGTGAGCGTTAGATGGGATACAGACACACCAGTGTTCATGGAGGAAGTGCTGGTATCGTTAGCAGAGGCAGATTTAAAAATTTTCATTGTCTTTGTATTGGTTTGTTTTCCCACTTCTTTTCTTTTCTCTGCCACGACATAAAGTGGTTCTGGGTTTTGCAGCTGAGGTATGTGATAAACAGGCAGGAAGAGAATGTACTTGTCATTGGGAATAGGTTTCCAGGGTTTTCAGGACCAGAATGTTATGCTTTGAAGACAGTTAATTTTACAGCGGTTATGAATTTTACATTTTTACATCTTTCTGCCTATATATCTACCTAAATATGTTTATATATGTATGGGGTTTTGTATATATAAAAACATAAAATTATAGGTATGTTTTATATATTTTTTTTTATATATATAAAATATATGTGCACACATATGTATAAATCTAGTCTTTGCTGTCAGAGTCCCCACAGGTTGTTTCCCCAGATGATGAGAGACCGGACATGCCTCTCTGAGTGTCGCTGAGCTCTCCAACTTGGCCTGTCAAAGCAGATATTGCGGTGAGTAAAAAGCTGACTGAATCCCCTTCCTTGTATTTGCAAGAAAAATACCTCTGATCTTAATGCTGGAAACAGTTATTCAATTTTTAATAACATTTTGTTTATCTATAATAACCTGAGTGAATAATGCAATGACCAATGAGTAAAAAGAGCTGTTGTTGACAAGTTATTTAGATTCCCTATACCTTGGTTTTCCCTGCTGTAAAAGGTAGGTAGTGACAGTACCAGAACTCAAAAGGGCATTAGGAGGATAAATGCATGATTTACATTGAGCTGCTCAGGTATTTCAGGTACTGGGACAATATATGACAGACTTGTATCTAAGCAGAGATATTCTGGTTAAGCAATGAGGTCTTACAGCACCAGGAGAAATCAACAGACCTGGGATTCTTTTGGATCAGTGGGGAAAGCAACTTCTGGGAATTGAATGCTTCATCCCAAAAGCCTTTTTCCCTGGATCCCTGTGTGATCAAGTCTGTGCTTGCACGGATATTGCTTTTGAATTGTTGTTGCATTGCTTGCAAGAGAAAACACTCACACTGCTGCCCTCCTACTTAAAGATGAACTCAAATGCTTTTTTATTTTAAATTCAAAACCTAATTAAAATCCAGATTCCTTGGCGAGTTTTAGATATGACTTCAGAAAAAAAAATCAGTCCTTTAAATAATAAAATGTTCGTGTTGAAAATCAGTTTTCTTTACTCCCACATCCATTTTGAATTGAGGCTACTGTGTTTGAAGGGTAAGACCCAATAATGCTTCTGAAGTCAAAATTGGTATTTGAAAGGCAGCTCTGTGCTCTTCTTTGAGTGTTATTGATGCTTTCAGCTGTGGCATGAAAGACCTAGAACTACGATCTCTGGTTTTGGCAAGTCAAGTCATTCAATTCAATTTCAGAACCATGCAGCTGTGAAGCTTTACAGTTTTTGATGTTTAAAAAGGTACGGATTATTTCTGTTCTCTGTGATTTGTGAGCAACCGCTGCTTCTGTTAGCAGACTCAGGAAGAAACCTGTCTGTCTGATGTTCATGGACTGTTACTGATACCTGCGCAAACACCTGAGTAGATATTACACATCTGGCTGGCATCTCTGAGATCAAAGTGCTCTCTGATGCTCTGCTGCCCTTTGAACAGCATTTAATTGGCCATGACACCACATTTTAGGACCTGGGACTGAGTTGTGCCTCCTCAGGTCGCTGGATGAATCCAGTTTAGGTATGTAGGAAACTGGTCAGTGTTCTCAGCCTCCTTTCTAGTGGAGAGAGGGCTGTGTCATTATTCCCATTGCTCCGGTTCTCTTACCTGCAGTGAGTTGTGGTGAAGATGCTGAGTTTGCGGTCCCTGCTCTTTCTTATGGGACATTTCTGCAGGTTGATTGAAGTACATTAGCATGGACTGTTAGGTGGGGATACCCCAGATGTCCTCTGCAGAGAAGATTTCAGGCAGGTCTGGCCAGCCTTCCTGATCTTCCAAGGCATGTGCCAAACTCTTCAAAAACCCAATTCACTGGAGAGCGGAGAATAGCTTACAAGTGACGGATGCTAACCTAGGTATGAAGCTGGGATTTAGGGTGAACGGACAAAGGTGGTCTTGGGAGCTGCTCCTCACCCATCTCCTCCCACGGTGGGAGGGGGAAACTATTTAGCAGCCTTTTGCCAACCAACTTTGCGCTGGTCCTGTCATGGAAGCCCCATTTGCACTGACAAAGAGGCATGGACTAGTCACTGACACTGCCTCTTGCTGGCACTGGTGCCAACTGGCTCAAATCCAGAGCCTAATAGCCTCCTGAACTTAGCGCTGAGCCCAGGCTGAGAGATGAGCCCTGAGCTTGGTGTTCAGTGCCTCACTAATGCAGAGGACTCACCTCCCATCCAGCTTGGACGACGGGCACAACTGGTGCATGGCTGTCAGTCCACCCCAGCAGCTAACTGCAATGCCCTTCATTTCCAGCACTGTAAAACCAGCCTATTCCACGAGCTCACATCTGGGGCCTTCTCCCCAGGGGATTTCGGTTCATGTTCTTTTATTTTCATTAGAAATAGAGGCCATTTGGTTCAGCTGTCTGCCAAAACAAGTGGAGAATTGGAGAGCTGGGATGTGAACGCAGGCTCTGTTCCGCAGTCAAAGCAGGCTCTTCCAGACACTGTTGCCCCTCTACTAAATAATACAGCATTACAAGCGTGTCCGTGTTGGGTTGCTGTGCAGCACACATCTTGCTGCAAAGACAGCAAAGCCAAACTGCTCTTTGCTGTACCAAGGGAGAAGTACAGTGCAGACCTTGCTTGTGGGATAGGGCAGAGAATTGGCCCTGGTTGTTTCCACTATCTACTAGAGGAAAAGGATCTGGCATTGTAGAGAGGGATGTACCAAGTATTCTGTGCAGGAAAAAGAGTATCTGCATGCTAACCACACATGATGGACTGCCCGCTGCTAACCAAAGTGCTGTGTTGCGCATTGTTACTGAGTAGCTCTCTGTGACTCATGACAAGGACGCTGTGCTGAGGGTACTTATTGACTATACAAGAAGCTGCCTAGGTACTTCATAGATAGGTCTGAGATCCAGGTCTCTTCTGTGATGATTTCACAGCCTGGACAGGTGTTGGATGGATGTGTGGCAGGGAGGTGGGGGTGGTCAAAGCAACCTGAGCTGACAGTGGGTGACAGGACACTGACAGCACTCTGCACGCAATGGGTGTGAGGAAGAAGAGGAGGAGGGAGGTGGACATGGGCAGATGTGCACTATGGAAGGGAGAAGGCAAAGTCATCCCGCAGGATGTCACTTCTGAGCGGAAGACTCTGCTAAGGCTCGATTCGGCGGTATGCCGCACACCTGCTGTTTGCAGCCAAGTCTAAAGGCACCAAGGATATCAGTGTCTTGCAAGATTAAACTCTTTGATTCCAATCTCTTTAGCTAGAAAGCACGTTGTTTTATCTAATGCTTGTCTCTGTCTGTTTTAGGCTGTGACGCCTGCTGAGAAAAGGTATGCATAATGAAATGATTAAATCATGCGTTTTCAAATAATCAAAGTCATGCTGTTTCAGCTATGCAGAAATCCTGTTCCTCTTATGAGACATCTAGCCAGATTCAGAATTTCTTTAGGATTTTATATTTCTTAGAAGGACTCTGAATAAAAAGGAGAATCTGGTTAAGGCCAGTTCTGCTCTCCTGTATGCCCAGGGCCAGATATGATCACATTCATATTCTTCTTGTGTCGCTGCAGACAGAAAATAACTTTGCAGTCTGATTTTATGCTCTAAAGAAAATCACTCACACTGTGACAGCACTTCAAAATATTTCAATCCTTATTCTGTATATGCTGCTGGCTATGACTGCAGTGGAGAAAAAAAACACTTCACTGAATCAGTAGTTATGGAAAGGGATAAAGTTTCCAAATCACTTCTTTCCATCTTGATCTTGTAACTAATCCCTCGTCCCTGCTGTACCTCCAGTTTGAGATGTCTCCCCTGTGACTCCTGCACTATTTCAAGCTTTGGCATCCCTGACACATTTAATTGCTCAACACTGCTTAAATATTGTGCATGGTAAGGTCAGATGGTGCTATGTAAGCTGCTACGTATAGAATCACCTCCTGACTGTGGGAAATCTCCCTAGGGAAAGGTACCCTGGAACAGGTAGTGAAGGAAGTGAATCAGAAAGAGCTTTATGGTCAGAGTCCAGAGACTCCTATCCATCCACCAAGGTAAGGTCTCTTCTTAAAAGGATGCTGTCAAGGCTGATTGACCTAAAAAGAAACCTTGTGCGCTTTTTTGAGTGATGGGCATGTATATGTTCCTATGTTCTACTGTTTGGGGTCACTCGTAGGAGCATGTGAGAAACCAGCTGAAAACAAACAGGAATGTTGTTATCAAGGAGGATTCTGACCTCCCAAGGTCATGGAAGTGACAATGAACCAATGGAGGTTAATAGGTCTATTTTAATGAAGGGACTGTATTTACAGGGGAGGTGGCACAGCAAATGCAAGGGAGCTGCACCTTAAGACACTCTTATAGGTTAATTTTTGCAGATCCTAAATACAGCCTCAGGGAGAAGAGCAGTGAACAAGTCCCTCCCTCCCTCATAGTGCCACATTTAGGAAACTGAGTAACAGTTGCAGTCTACCTAAGATGGCAGAGAAATTTAATTGAATAGCAAAATATCAGATCTAGATTTCAAACAGAGGAATTATCTTTTTGGTCCAAGCAGAAGAGTTTAATTTTGACAAAAGGACTTACAAGAACTCATCTGCGTTACCATAATGGAAACTGTCACCACCAGTCTCATTTTTATTATGGAAGTGTTTCTCCAAGAGACTTCAGATCCGCACGTGCAGTTCTCCATCTCAAAACCAAAACATCTCAGACCAAATGACACCTTCAGTTTCAGAGAGCCACAATTCTGTACCTTCAGCAAAGAAAGAGCTAGAGACCATATGGCTGCACTACTGGGATGCCACCGTTGTTCTGCAGATCAGATGTTGAAGACAATGTGGCGATAAGACAGAAGGCATTACTCCAGCAGAAAGCATTAACCAGGGACATTGAAAATGGTAAACCTGAGTAGCTATAAGCAGACAGCAGATGGAGATGAAAGAGAAGGAAATAATCAAATTCTGCATTAAAACAGAGACAGCTTAGACGACTGCTTTCATTTGCATCCATCTTGTAAAATGAATTTGCTAGTTTTAGTCTAGATATGGATTTCCTCAGATGACAAAGTTAAAAAAAAGAAGGCAACAAAAACCAAACAAAGACCCCCCAGCTTAGCAGCAGTGCAGCACAAACCCAGCATTCAAAAAGCAAAGAGCAATTTCTTCTCTCCAGATGAACAAAGCTGGATGGTTATGCTGGTTGCCTTCAGCTTTAAAATGCTGTTGCAGAGCAGAGCTTGACGCTATTCTCTTTTGCTCTGCCCAGTGTGGCTCTTTGGGACCAGACATGATGCTGCCATGGAAAAACCCACCTTGACAGAAGAGTTTGACAGCTATTCACAGATCTCTCACGTGGAGCTTAAAAATTTTCCCAACTAGGAGTTAATGTCACCAGTGCCCACATTCGACCTCTTCCTTGCGGAGTTCTGCCTCATTCTCTTGGCTGCTTTACCTCTTACTTGAACCTAAAAATTTAACCAGCAGCCAAGAGGGAGAGAAGAACTGTGTGGGGTTTAGAGTCTTCAGCACAATCTATTTGAAAAATGTCCATTACTAAAAGGTGTAAAGCCTTTAGCAGTCAAGAGTAGAATGACTTTGTGTAAATAACAAATTATACCAGTCCATATTGATTTTTCTTCTCTGAGCAATTCCCAGATCAAATGTGCTCTTTCTACAAGTCAAAAGGTGATATTTCTAATGGCAGTCACTCCAAACTCTGAAGAGCTAAAACCCAAGTGTTTCTTTCTCTGCTCCATCATTGTTGTAAATAAAAGTATTACACTGAAGACACACCTTACCATTTTGTTGCTGATCCATAAAGCTTACTTTTTAATTAAGGAAAAAGCTTCCCAGGTCCATAAACCAGGCATGGCTATGAAAAGCAATTGCACATTAAAGACATAGTTGTGTGCAGCATTTATCCTCCCAGGCATCCCAAGTGCTCTGATGTATCATGCCCCCTGCTCCCACTCTCTGACCTACAGACTCAACTTCTAGGGGACAGGAGTGCATGAAGTCTGTACTCTTCTCACCAAGTTCGCTCTGCTTGAATCAGACACTAGCATACTTGTGCATACAACATTGACAAGAAATGCAGAGGACAGCGGAGCAAGAGGTGAAAACACCCAAGCCCTTGGGATCAGATGAGCCCACTGTCAAATTGGTACCTCCATTCTTTATGCACTGTTGGGCGTTTAGATTTACTTTCCCCTCCTCCTCCTTGAGGGCTGCCGAGGAGATCCTGCTTCTGCCAAGTGATCAGTGATGTTGCTTGTCTGAGATCCATTGGCAAAGCTGACAGCAGTGATGCCTTCCGCTCTGCGCAGAGGTGCAGGTTGAGAGGAGACCTGGAGTGGGTCCCACAACAAACTTGCAGTAGTGTTGTCTCAAGTAACATTGCACAGCCAAGATGACAGATTTTAGGAAATGAATGAATTTAACATTTATTCATGAGTGCACCCTGGGAGGATTCTTAACATTTTTTTCACTAACAACAACAACAAAATTGGCATTTCAAAATACAGAAAAGATATCAAATACCAAAAGGACATCCTATTGAGGGAGAGGAAATCAAGTTGATTTGACTCCAGAAATCAAAATTGAATAATTTGAATATTTCTCCCTGTACAACTGATACAATCTTTTTTTATTTTTCCAGACAAAAACTACACTTCAATTTTATTTTTTTTTTTTTTTTTTTTTTTTTTTTTTTTTTTTTTTTTTTTTTTTTTTTTTTTTTTTTTTTTTTTTTTTTTTTTTTTTTTTTTTTTTTTTTTTTTTTTTTTTTTTTTTTTTTTTTTTTTTTTTTTTTTTTTTTTTTTTTTTTTTTTTTTTTTTTTTTTTTTTTTTTTTTTTTTTTTTTTTTTTTTTTTTTTTTTTTTTTTTTTTTTTTTTTTTTTTTTTTTTTTTTTTTTTTTTTTTTTTTTTTTTTTTTTTTTTTTTTTTTTTTTTTTTTTTTTTTTTTTTTTTTTTTTTTTTTTTTTTTTTTTTTTTTTTTTTTTTTTTTTTTTTTTTTTTTTTTTTTTTTTTTTTTTTTTTTTTTTTTTTTTTTTTTTTTTTTTTTTTTTTTTTTTTTTTTTTTTAATAGTAATCCAATATCTTGGTCATAAAGGTGAAGTGAATGGTGCTGACTTTCCTTCTTGGACTTTCCTGAGGAAACAAACTTATCAACAGAGGTGATGGTGACCAGACCTGGACTAACAAAGCTCTACTAAGGTACAACATGTTGCCTTAAGCTATGTCAGAGCCCAGCCCACTTTTTTATCTGACCTTAACCTCAAGTCCCTGTACAGAAGCGGTGGCACAGAGCTCTATGATTCCCAGGCTGCCATCAACAGCAGGATTATTGATCAGCCTCAAATGTCCAGGCCCCAGAGTAGAAACCCTTCAATGGGGAGGAAACTCATTTTGAGCAATTCCTCTCTAAGAAGTACAGCTTAACAGCACTGTGTGCTTCTCTTGTGTGTGGCACAAGCCTTTCTGTGCCCCCAAGGTTCCTTCCAGTCTTCTCCTGTTCCACATCTCCCAGCCTTTCTGCACCTGCATCTCTCCTTTGAGTTCCTTCCTTCCCAGCAGGAACTGGGAGGTTTGCACCCACTTTTTCCTGATTCTTGTCAGTATAAGAGATGTCCTAGTTACCAGGTTTTATCTGAATACCAGGCATCCTACATCTGCAGGAAAAAGAGCGCTGCGTGGTTATTTCCCCTGTCTCCGTTAAGTGCATTGTGCCCTTCATATTCAAACAGAGCACTTGATCTTTCTTAGACAATTTATCTCTCTCATTCTTTTCTCTTATATTCTCCCACAGCAAGATCCCAAAAGTTATCTAATAAACATGGATGTTATGACATCCTCCCACAATAACTATAAATATCACACAGGAAACATCACCTAATAAACGATATAATTACTGCAAAGATGAAAACCAGCACTCCTGAAAACACACAGTGAGTTGCTCTTTATCTTGTCATACAAATTATTTCCATTTTTTTCTTGCTTTGCTTTTCAAGCTCTTCTTTTGCCTTATCGCTTGTGATCATGTGCAAGAAATGTGTATCTCCAGGCACAGAAATATAAAGCGCAGTCGTTCTGAGCTGCCACGGGAATGCAGGTCCACCCAGTTAATTTTTTCCCATTGTACTGGGTGGAGTGGCTCTGCAGACACACTCGTATACACGCCCTTTCTTTTTTTGGTACTGTTAATTATTTTAAGCTACTCTTCAGGTTGGTAGCATAGCTTATTACTGTGGAAAATTGGCAGTTTCTCTCCTTCTGTGGTGACTAGTAAGTCATGAAAAGCTTTTTAGCTTGATTTATTCTGACTTCTGCCATGTCTTGCTGATTTATCTATTATGCTCTAAAATAAGGCCAATTAAACCCAGCAGTTAAACCAGACAGACAGAAGGGCATGCATTTCCCTACCCAAAAGGTATTTTTGAAACAAAAAGACACGCTTTAAGCCAGTAAACGGTATCTTTTGCTTTGAACTCAGGACAGGACCATACAATTATCGTTGACTCTGTTGTCACAGGCACATCGCGTTACCACTCCACTTTGCTTTGTTATTACATTCAGTCAAAGCAGTGAAATACAAAGGAGAATGCTGCTCTGTCAAGTGCTCCAAGGATGGGATTGCTGAACGCTGTATTTTAATAATCTGCCTTGTTCACATGAGTCGAGCCAGCCGCAGCCAAAGCGGAGAGCAGTTGTTGGCCAACCAAAACACAGCTGTTGTAGCTCATTTTGAAGTCTACCAGCCTTTCTGCTGTCCCTTTTCAGAGATTAAGCTTAATCTTCTGTAGGCGAGGCTCATGTCACCTTATTCAAGAACAGTTTCACTGACAGCCTTGGAGTTTTTTCCTCTTTGTCTCATCCTTTGTGGTTTTGGCAGGGCAACAGCTTTAATAGAAACGTACCCAGGCAAAAAGCAAAACTGTGTAAAACCTGTGCGGTTCTGCCACACAACCAGCAGCCAGGCCACAGCTGTGCAAGTGGCCAGGGAATTCACAAGCTTTTGGAGGAAAATGCAAGCTGTATGGCATGCTATTAAAACCAAGTAAACCCGACCATTTTGTGTGACTTGAGCCAACGGGCACATGCGCAAAACAGAAGCTGTGTTTAATCTGAGTTTTATTTCCATTTTTTTAGCTTTCTCTGAAACTCAAGTGAAATTAAAGTGTGGGAGAGGAGGCAGTTGTCTAATCCGTATGGATCAAAATTTCATAAAATGCTGAGTTGCAGCAAAATGAAGCAGCTGAGTTTCACCAGCCTGCCTGCCTGCCTCTTTCCATGGCCTCATCTGCATTGTGCAAAAGCCAAATCAGAGTTATAAGTAACTCCACTCCACTGCCAAGAAACTCATCGCATTGGTTTATCCAGAAGGGCTTCTGTACCAAAGATAGCCTCTGGCGTGTGGGTTACGTTTCAGGTCTGCTTTTAGAAGAGAGCTGTTCCAAGAGAAGCTGAATATCTGTCTTCAGGTCTGTGATTATTGTAAAAGCCTGGATTTGAGCTTTTTTTTTACTGCCTGCGTGTCACAGCACTTTTCTAATGACCACTGGTTGCTGCCTCAGTTGAATAAGTTTCCCAGATTAACCAGGAAAAAGAGAAACCCTCCACCCTTGGTTCTTTTTTATTTTATAATTATCTGCTGTTTCTCTAGAGTTGCTCTTTTATCCTTATGTTTTGCTCTTGCCTGGATGTGCCCAGTGCCTTGCAATTAAACCGAAGCGGCTCTATATAGTTCACAATCTAAGATCACATGCTGCAAACCCTTGCTCATTAGAGCAATCCCACCAGAGCAAATAAGGCTGTTTCATATCAGGTCTGCTTTCTTGGTGAAGTTTAGTAGGTTCTGACCTTAAGTTACATGTTTTAAAACATCAGCAAAATGTTCTCTGACTCACTGTTAATAGTATAATTGCTAATGGGATGAGTCTCTAAAAAATAGAACCAAATATGTTTATATAACAATCAGAAAACTTTCATTTCCAAAGGGAAGGAACAGTTGTACTTTCAACATCACTTGTGTTTTGGCCTGGAGGTGTCCTACATGCTGTGCCAAAAAGTAATAATTAAAGGGACATGGTTGACATAAAACTAAATTTATTGAAATTCCTTACCTGTGCTACTTGGCAATGCACTAGGGTGTTCAGAGTGAAGAGTTTTTTAAAATAAGTTTGTTTTGCACCACTTAGGCTCTTTGTTCTTTCTGCAGTGCTCAGTTTTAAGTACAAAATCCATTTTTTCTGGTTTCACTTCTAGTTTGTGTTCGATCACTCAGTGTTTCTGTGCTGTATGTGTTCTGAATTTAAAAGACATCTGCTTCACTTCAGCTGTATCCCCCACTGTCAGTCTTTGCTTCCTCCTGTTATATGCATGCTAAAATATTGCTGGCATGAATATGCAAGGAAAGTAAATGCAAAGCCAGCACCACAGATAATTGCTGATCCTTTTAAAGTGTCCAGACCTCTCATGAGGTCTTTGATGCAGAGGCTGTTAAGCAAAGCAGACTAAGATTTGACTGCTCTCTTTGCAAGCAACAAGAGCAAGCATCTGCAATTACTTTATGAAAACAAGCACTGGTGAGAATTACAAATCAATACATGCAATGTGCTTGGTATATTTTATTTTAATGAAACCCTGCTTCACACAGCATTTGGAGTTTCTCAGCTGCCTTGTTAGATCCCTGGCATCAAGGCACGGTGACAAAGGAGTGAGCCACCTCCTCCGCAGCTGGGATCACGTGGCAGATGCTGCAAGCGACCCTGCAAGTTTTGCTGATTTATTTTTTGGTGTTTCCCCTGAATGGATGGTGTTGCAAGTCATTCACTGGACATCACAACTCATTTGGCAGCCAAGTGTTTGCGAGTAAAATTGCAAGAGATCTGCATTTGAATTAAAAGAAAAAAAAGTATAAAAATGCATAACGCTGAGTCCACAGGCAGGTGTGACCCTTTTGCCAGTGTCAGGTCGGGCCAGACAGGGGCCAAGCTGCGTTAGCATGCAGGTTGGGCTGAGCAGACATGCCCTGTCCAGATGTTGGCACCCTTCCATACCGAGAGAGCCTTGGATGGAGAGGAGGGAGTCGACTCCCACCCCTGTGTTTGTGTGCGGAGGGCTCCAACCCGCAGTGCCGGGCTCAGCGCCACGCTCACGCAGCCCAATGGCTTCTGGCCTGGAGCCGGCTTGCATCTGGCCAGCTAAAAACTCAGCCGGAGGAATTTATATCCATCTGCACCCATGGCCCGTTACTGCTCAGGGTGCAGTTTGAGGTTAAAGCTAAACCAATCCTTTTTCTAGGAACAGTGCCCTGGGCAAGGACTGTCTGATCCAGAAGATTTGATGTTCTCAAGAAAAAAAACACAAAACCTTCTTTACTTCAAAGCCATGCCTTTCCCCCACTTATAGAAGTTATAACAAAAAGGTCTTGTGATCTTACATGGTCAATCACAGCCAAGAGGCTGTGCAATAGCCTGCTCTGTCACTGAACTCCTTGTAACAAGTCCAGAGAGGGGGGGAAACAGCCAAAAAGCAAAATGCCAGCAGAAAGTGTAAGGTCAGCTTGAGTAATATATACTTGATATATTACTTGATATACTTGAGAAAACCACGGCCTGCTCGTAAGGATTGCTCAAGCTGAAATGGAGGATCTGCACACCCAGTTGGTCTCTGCCAGGGAGCCATCCTTTTCTCTGCGACGGCAGCAGGGAGGAGACGACCAAAACAAGGACAGCGCACGCTTCCTAAGATTCAGAAGAGCATTGTGAAATAAATGCTAGAAATATTTAGGTTGTGTAAATGTTCAGTTGGGTCAAAAGCCAACGGAAAGCACTCTGCAAGAGCCAGGCCAGTCCGCCTGACGTGGCTGGCAGTCAGCAGGCTTTGTAATCAGCAGATTAATGACCTCCAGAGAAACATCCCCCTGCTGAGAATTTACCTCTGTCTGATTTCAGCCATACATCTTCTGATGCAGTTCCTCTCAGCTTGGTGTGATCGACCGGCTGGCATGCGTTATACAGGACGTTTAGGGGAACTCATTATAGCCACGGCGCTGAAGAGCTGGCGGCTGGGAGAGGCTCCTGGCAGAGTTGCACTGCTGGGGCGATAAATGCTCCTTCTCCCAAGGCCTGGGTGCTTTGCCGTAGCTGTCTTATGCCTCTTTGGATGTGTTTGGTTCTTTATTTTTGTTTTTTTTTTTTACATCTCTTTCAGCGTTGGTTTGTAATTCTTCAGGGTAACAAGTTTGCTGTTTTTTTCTTCCAGGACTCAGTAATTGCTTGGCTTCTTTCCAGTTGATGCTCCCCATGCACAAAGAGGGAAGTGTGCTCTTCTGTATTAGGGCTTTTATATTCCTTCCCTCAAGTTAAATGAAGAGGGGGTTTGTCTGCATTGTGTTTTGGAAGGGCGGCGGGGGGGAGCCTACAATGCCCATGAGGTTCAAGGGTGAATTTAGACAAAATTACAGGCACACGCAGGGGATGTTTTTGGGAGTATGTGGCGCCTTTGTGGATCTGAGCAGACTTGGCAGCTTAGTGTGGCATCGGTACAGCTGCCGGGGGCTCGGTCCCTCCAGATGCACACAGACGCTCAGCGGGAGAGGCTCCCGCTGTTCGTGGGCAGCTGGGGGGATCGGAGAGCACACTCTGCTCTTGGCTGCTCTTTAAAGAGCAGCATAACCTCTCCACAGATAGAGGTTGTCTTTGTACTAGAAATGGCATTATTCCCTATGTCAGTCAGCAACATCCTGAGCAGGTTTGGACGTGCATACCCTGATATAATAGCCTGAGCTTGATCTGCACTGGACCTGGTCTCCTGCTGCAGTGGGCATCCTTGGGAAAGTGCAGTTTTGGGGGTTAGAGCATTCCCGGCATGGGGAGAAAGCTCGGTGCATCTCTGCAAAATGCTCCTGCTCTCATGATGAAGGTGTGTTCCCCAGGAAGAATGCCTAATTTTCCTGAAATTCAGCCAGTTTCTCTGCAACATTTCATTTCTAATGACCAAATGCATATCCAAGCAGGCTGGCCTGTGTGCTACAATAGAGAACAAAACCACTGTGAGAGCTTGTTTGGATTGAATTGTCCGTGCACACAAGGGAGAACCTGCTAAAATGATAAAAACCCAGGCTATGTACCCATGCTCATGTTTTGCTGCACTGATAACATATTTCCTGGGGCAAGTTGAAGCAAAGTGACAGGTTTACCCTTTACTCTGGAAGTGAACTTAAAGTGAACTTACACTCTGAGATGTGTAAGTAAAAGAACTTGAACAGAACAAAAGAAATTGGATTAGTAAAGGTATCTAGCCGGAGATAAGTTGGCAGGAGTCTAGCTGATTTAACATTAACACCCAGGAAGCATAAAAGGCTGTAAGTTAACCATGAGAGATCATTAACTTTCATCTCTTTTCACCTATGGAAAATTATTTTCCTCCCATTCTTCTGCTTTCTGGCCCCTTTGAATGTAATCAAATGTAACTCAGCTTTTCAATTCAGTGAAACCTTTTATTCCTGCCTGTGTGTGAAACACTTCATACCATAGTGTGGCACTTCATAGTAAATTAAATTAACTCTTCTGTATACTCCTGAACTGTGAGGGACCCTCAATAAATAAAATAAATCTGCAAATAAAGAGAATTTAGTAGAAGGCTGAATGTTTTCCATTCACCTCAGAGACATGGAGATCAGTGTTACCCTCACATGCCTGTGTAGGTATCTGTGTAGGTTCAGCCAGATGCCTGACTTCTCTGCAACTCTCTTTCTCTCCTTTTCCTTCAGAGCAAAACCTGCTGTCTTCTGAAAACATCCTGGAGACAGCGGCTGCAGCTTGCGTGGCTGCTCCAGGCAGTCCCGCATCCCTTCCCATCCGTGCACTGTGCTGCAGGACTCCTCCTCAGCCTTTTCAGGCAATTTTGCAGGTCAGTAAAACAGCCAGAAAACCCTCCAGGTCCATGATACTCACATGGGATGGATGTTCAGCACAAGCCAAGAGCAGGCTGCTTTTGATGGCAGCGTGCAAGCTTGCAGCATGGGGGTTTCCCATGGGTTTCATTTTAGAGGGATCCTCTGTCACAATATGGGGCACTTTTTGGAGTGTGTTTGAAACCATTTGTCTTCCTGCAACATGCGACTGCTGCTGCCCTAACAGGGTGCAGGACAGGCAGGGATCACCTCCCAACACCAACACCCTCAAAAAAGTTATATCTGCTCATCCTCAGAGACTGACCTTCAGCACTGAGCACATGGCTCTGCTGCACCACTAGCCTTCCAGGAAGGTGGGAGAGGGAGACTGGTTTGGTAATAAACCTGGATGTCCCACAGAGAAGATTCTCTAGATGGGGATTAGGAGGGAGCCCAGATTAACTTTTTGGAGTAAACTGCTAGGAATCAAGTTAGCTCGATCCTCTGTTTTGCTCTGCTACTGACTCATTCTTCCATCACAGGCAAGTCACTTCACCTTGATGCAAGGATTAGCGAGAACATGCCTCCAGGAGAAAAGTCTGTCTCATGCCTTTCTAGTAAAGGCTCTCTTTACTTTCTACTTTGTCCATGTTCTGTTGTTGTGGAATTAAACGGAAAGGAACCCGTGGCTACTGGTAGGGCACGGAGCTCCATGTTCTCACCTCATCAGCACACAGGAGTGTTTATGGGGCTCCTACAAAGCTTTCAAGACTCATTGTATGCTTGGCTGTGTACTTTTTGCCATAAAGAGCCATAAATGCGTCATGTTCCCTATGGCATTAACTTGTCTGGCAACATGGCCTCTTCTGAATCAAGTATTTTTACAGTGGCATCACTAAAACCCTTTTGGAGCTTGCCATGAAGCATTGAGTACCCCCTTTCCAAAGCAGAAGTGTGGGGGGAAACTGCTGACACCCCTGGGCCAGTGAGCTTTCCTCCTGCCTGTGCTGGCTTTGGGAAGTTCTGCTGAATGTGTGAGCAGAGCTCTGCATTCACAGCTGCTTCCCTTTTGGTTTTACACAGGACTTGTGCAATATGGTAAACTGGGAACAGAGCTTGTCAGTGAGTGTGGCTTTGGGGGACTGCTGTTACTTTGACGAGATGCTTGGGGGGACTCTCTTTTGCACATCTTTTTGATGTGCTTGAATACAAGTCTGATCCCAAAGGGATGCAAAGATCCATCCCAGTGAGTCTTTAGGGTTCTTCGTGTTTGAAGTTACTTGGACAATTTACCTGTCTTGCTTAGGTAATAGCTATAGTATTTCCGTAGAATCTGGTTGAAGAATTTAAATTCAAAACCCAGGATGCTGTCATTATACTAACCTCTTTTTACGCAACTGTCAATCCAACTTGTAGGCTGGTGCACCCACTGTGTGCTCCTTCTGCGCACCACTGCTTTCCATCATCTCCTCCTCTAACCTCAGTCCCCTATGCAGCTCTGCCTACATCTTTATACAAACTATACCCACACTTTCATCCTCAAGTTTCTAATGCAGAAAAGCCACAGTACCTGTCTACCGACCCAGCGGTGTCCCTGATGTTTCTACTCCTGGCCTCTGTGTTGGAATGGATAATAAAAATGCTGCTCATTTCATCTTTATTAGGCTTTTCAAAAAGGCTTGGAAAATGAGATGCTGTCTATCTGAGGGGGTCTCAAAATTCATAGACTCAGTTAACTGCATGGATTAGAAACCACCTGGAGGGCTTTTTTTTGATCTGTGAAAATTTAAATTCAGCAACCAGTGTTTCCTCTGCAAGAGAGGGTGAAATTACCACCTCTCGACTCCAAGGAAAAAGCTGCTTTCCCTGACTTCCTTATAATGCTTTAGGTGTTAGCGATTAACAGTATCAGCCTTCATTTCTGTCTTTGTCATCGCAATACTAGATTTTGTGCGTATGGTAAGTGATGCAGGTACACCACCTATTGTTAAAATAGACTAGCACTTCCAGCAACAATAATTCATTTCAGCTGCTTAACGTTTTGCCAAATTGCAACTATTTGGGTTGAAACTTCCCAACCAGAGAGTGTCTGCTTCATGCTGATTAATTTGCTTTAATTTTCAGCAAAAATGTTTCAGCTGTTCTACGACCAATATTAAGGAGATGTATTATTGAATGTTGTTCTTACTACTTACTGGGTTATGGTAGAAGTTTTTCTCCTTTTTGTAAAAGAGATTCAACCACCCACACGTGTTGGACTTGAAACTTGTCATGCCTTGGATGTGCTTTCTGGTGTCAGGCAGGTCTGTCCTGAGAGCCAGTATGAAACAAATGTTAAAATCACAGCCCATTTCGTTGCCTCCTGTTACAGTTTGTTTCCTGCATAACTTGCTTTCCCTGCTCCTGTCCTCTCTCCCACCATCCAAGCCGAGTAGCTCGCTGCTGTCCCCTCTCTCCCTCTCTTCACCAAATCCATGTGGGGTCTCATTTCCCCTTCTTCTCTGTGTGGCAGGGCTGAATTCTTGCAATTCTTGCCTCCTGAACTGGGGGATAGTGGTAGGAGAGCATCTCACGTGGTCAGATGTACCTTTTTGCCCTCCCTGAAGTCGTCAAATGGGCTGATTTTAGTTGATTGTATGCATCTGGATAATCACATTTTGAACATTTCCCAGTTGTTACAACCCCTCTGGAGTCAGCCACCAGAACTGGGAGATGACATTGCCTTTCCCTCTTTCTCAATATCTTCCCTGGCTGCCAGGTTCATTCTTGTCTCAGAGTACCGTTCTGGCACCTGCCTCTACCCAGGTGTGTGTAGGGGTCCTGGGAACCGGGGTAATTCAGGTGCAGATTTGGTACCAACTCCTGTACTGTCAGAAATGGCACCTTCCGCATCTGGAGAGGGTTTGGACACTGATCCCCGGGGACATGCTAAGTGGGTTCCTTCAGGTTTCTTCAGATTGATGATTGATTTTGCAGCCAAAATTCTGGAGGGCAGGCAGGTGGAAGGGCTTTTTGGACAAGGAGAAAAACAGATCTCTGAAGCTAGGTAAGGAAAGATTTACCCCCTATTTTGCACTTAATATGATTTAAAGTTGGCAAGAAAGACTTGATACAGGAGAACAGAGGTATTCACATCTGTCACTGCACCTAAAGGGGGCTTTCTCTGAGTGCAGCTCAGAAAGTCAGGTGCATTTGCTTTCACTGCCGTTGGATCTTTCACAAAGTACTGTTTTTAAAGCATTTGGTTCCCCAGCAGGATTTCCCGCTCTGGTTTCCATGAGATTAATTGTTTCAAAAGCTGGAGTGGATGGAAAGATTTGTTGGCTATGTCCATACAGAAATACCACCACTTCTCTGTGCAGGAAAAGCTGATACTTTTAGCACTGCCATGTGTTCCTGTACAGTCTAATATTTCACTCAGCTGTTACATATTCTTACTTTATTCAGCCATTATTTAACACATTAAGGAAGCACATGAAGTGGTTTCATGTTGCTATTGATTGATATCTTTTCCTTTTTAGTCTTCTCATAGTAATTTTTTAAGTTTCACTGTCACATTCACAAATGTCAACATGCAGTTGCAGATGAGACTTCTTTGAACTCAGGACAGGTGTTTGAGACACTGTGTTCAAAACGAGGAGATTTTGCTTTGTGTCATTCATTGCCATTCTTAGCCTTGGTCACAAAGGTCGGGATTTAGGATTAGGTTTCTCTCTACCATGCACTTGTCCTGCCTGATTGCAGAATACATTTTAGAGACTTCAGCTGAGAATAGTTTTCTTTTCTTGGCTTCTGCACAGTCCAATTAAGATTTCATTGGAAAATGTTAACTAGTAAAGTATATCCCTTCTTCAGCTAAAGCTGTAGCGACCACATAGCTATAAATTCCTGTGTAGTCAAACAGTGGCTCACGAGATCCATGGAGTCATGCCCACTTTGTCAAGCTTTGGAAATCTTGAGAGGAGGTCCTGGAAAGCTAGCATTAGCCTTGACTGCATGCTTGGCTGGTTTAGCACCGTGAATCTCTGTTGGGCTCTGCAGGAATAGTTTGCCTGGCTACAAACCAACTACCAGAGGAAATATAGCTAAGAGAGCAGAATAGGAGAGGACAGTAAAGCCATATATACTGCACTGCAGTGTGGATGAGAATTAACTGTCAGAATAACACAGCTTTATTACATTTTTTCCCCAATTCCTAATCTTTTCCTTGCATGGAGCCAGAGTTTATATTCTGGGCCAGCCATATTTCTAGATAATGGATAATCATGGTTCCCGCTCATTGATTATCTTACTGCTCAGTTACAGCTGCTTTGCTGGGCAGCACGAAGCTTTTCCACATGGTCTGTGGGCATCATTAAAAAGTGACATGAGCTTGGTGCTTTCAGCCCAGAGGGATTTTATCCCCCGTAGGCACAGGGCTGATGCACAGCAGCAGCCACTGGATCTCACCAGCTTCGTGGTGCAAAGGGGAGCTCTGAACTGGGGGCCTCAGCCTCCACACACTATGCAAGCTTGAATGACGACCATGTTGCAGTACTGTACTGATTTATATTTCATTCAGAGCATGTCCTTCTCTGCCATCCCTGCAATCTGAGCAGCACTTTTTTATTTCCTCATTAGTTATTAGGTATTCCTAGTCTTGCTTCGATAAAACCAGGAGGCTGGGGGTGGCTTTACTCCCCCATCTCATGTTTGGGCGAACCCTCTGAAGGACTGGAGGACTGCAGTACTGAATTGTTGGGCAGGGGCATTTCAGGGCATAAGCCACAGAGAGGCTGACTGAAGCACTTTGTTCAAGCTCCTCCACTCTGTTAGCTCCAGGATGCCAAATGGAAGTAAACCAGAGCAAGCTTCAGTGCAGTTCTCATAGCTTCAGGTTTTAAACATTGCAACATATGCCTGAGCTATCCTGTACTGTGTCCGGCTGGTGTTTTCTGAACATGCCCCCATTGAAAGAGATAATCATGTTTTGTTTAAATTCATTTCTGAAGTTTGAAAACCAATTTCTTTTTAAGAC